CAAAGACACCATGCAACAATTAGCAAAAACAAAAAGACAAGAAGCCCTGGGGATCAAGAAGAATCTGATTTCTAGCATCACCACATTATTAGATTCAAATGGCTACTTTTCAACAAAAATCAAAAGACATATGAAGAAACAGGAACGTATGGCCCATTCAAAGGGAAAAAATCAACAGAAACTGAAAAAAAAAAAAGACCTGATGGTGGATCTACTAGACAAAGACTTTAAAACAACTTTCAGCTGCTCAGAGAACTAAAGTAATACATGGAGAAAGTCAAGAAAACAATGTCTGAACACATTGAAAATATCAATAAAGATAAAAAACTTAAAAAGAAACCCAAAAAATTCTGGAGCTGAAAAATACAACTGAAATGAAAAAATTATTAGAGTGATTTAGAAACAGATTTGAACAGGAAGGTGAGTCAGTGAACTTGAATCTTGGACAATGGAAATTATTGGGTCTGAGGAACAGAGCATAAGGGACCTGTGGGACATCATCAAGCTGACCAACTTACACATTGTGGGAGTCCCAGAAGGACCAGAAAGGGGCAGAGCAAATATTTGAAGAATTAATAGCTGAAAACTCCCCAAATTTGGTGAAAGACATGAATATAAACATCCGAGAAGCTCAGCAAACTCCCAGGTAGGATGAACTGAACGAGATCTGCACCAGATGATAAGATTCAAACTGTTGAAGGTCAAAGACAGAGAATCTTGAAAGCAGCATAATAAAGTGAGTCATCATATGTGAGAGGAGCCTCACCATAATTTTCAGGAGATTTCTCACTAGAGTGTTTGGAGGCCAGAAAGCATTGGGCTGGTATTTTCAAGTGCTAAAAGAAAAAACTGAATCAAGAATCCTGTATTTGGCAAAATCGCCCTTCAAAAATGAGGGACATTCCCAGATAAACAAAAGCTGAGGTTATTTGTGACTATTAGACCTGCACTGAAAAAAAATGCTAAAAGGGAGTCTTGCAGATTGAAGGGAAAGGACAATAGACAGTGACTTGAAGCCATATGTAGAAATGGTAAGGTAAATATATGGGTAATTACAAATTCTAACTTCCATTTTTGTTTTCTACAAGAATTAAAAGACAAACACATTTTAAAAAATGCAATTGTTAGTCTAAAACTAGTATTACTGTAACTGGTTTGTAATTCTACATTTTGTTTTTTTACATAATTTAAGAAAGTAATGCACTTTTAAAAATTACCAGTTTATGTTTTTGGACACATGAACAAAGATATAATTGTATGTAGATGTTGTAATTCTCTTACGTTGGCAGCTGAAAGGAGTAGGACAGAGAGATGTTAAGGAGCAGAGATTTTGTATGTTACTGAAGTTAAGCTGGTACAAATCTAAATAAAAATATTGTGATCTTAGGATGTTAAATGTAATTCCCAATGGTGACTGCAAAGAAAATAGATACAGAGTATGTACGAAGGGAATGAGAGGTGAATTTAAATGTTTCGGTATAAAAACCTAAGCTCAAAAGAAAACAGTAATGTAGGAAATGGACAAAATAGCTATGATGCTTATGGAAAACCAATAACAGAATGACAGAAGTCCCTCCGTATCAGTCAGCCTTAAGAAGGAAGGAAATTCAGAAATATACTGCAACATGGATCAACCTGAGAACATTATGCTAAGTCAAATAAGTACAAAAAGATGAATACTACATGATTCCACTTATCTGAGATACTTAGAATACTCAAAATGTAGAGCCAGAAGGTAGAATAGTGATTTCCAGAGACTGGGGAAGAAGGGAATGGGGAGTTATTATTTAACGGGTATAGAGTTTCAGTTTTGCAAGATGAAAAGAGTTCTGGAGTTGGATGATTGGTGATGGTTGCACCACAATATGAATGTACCTAATACCACTGAAGTATACACTCAAAAATGGTTAAGGTGATGGACTTTGTATTATGTGTGTTTTACTATAATTAAAAAAGTTGAAAACAAGATACGTAAAGGCAGTACAATTATAAGGATCCTTAGCTTTCTCATAGGTGAGGAACCTTTGTTCAAAAAAATAATCAAATGATAAAGTCAGCACAAATCAGAGAAAATTATTCTGGTAGGCATGGAATATCTGCTTTCTGGGCACATTACGTAGAAGGTAAATAGTAAGTTCTTATTCGGTCTTATTCTAAAATCAATTTACTGTTTTAATAGAAAGCCAAGTTTTACTTTTCTGTTAATATAATATTTAGCAGTATAAGTTTTTCAGACTTTTTTTAATGAATAACTTTTAAGAACTTAGCATACTTTAGTAAAATTTTAAATATCTCATTGCACAAAGAAACTTGAGTTTTGGATTAGAGAAGGTGGACTGTAATATTGTTTTAGTGATCTAAAGCAATCTATAGTAGTAAAAATAATGTTGTATACATAAAACTGTAATTCAGATGAGTTTATGGTCATTATCATATAGTGTTTGATTGTCTGGCTCACATTTTGTAACCTACGAATTTGAAAGTCTTTTGAGCAAAAAATGCCATTATCCCAGCAGTATTTTACAAATATTAATATGAATTAATATGTACAAGGAAGTAAAAAGGGGAGATTAGAAGCAGGGTTATAATTTAAGGGCCTTTCCTCTTACCCAACCTCAACTCTTAAGTAATCCAACCCTAATAAGAGTCTTGACTGGATAGACAGAGGTAATGGAAATGTAGCCTTTATACTTATATGTGTCCTTCTCAGCTTTGTGTATACCTCCCATCAAAATTTAGCTGTGGAATCATCTCTTTGTCCTGTTTTATTTTATCGCCTCTAGGCTGAGTTGGCTGTCCTTCTTTGTGCTTCTTCATTACTACTTCGGGTTTACTCATCTCCCTCAATAGTCTTTGATAGGGGTCAGCAAACAATGGCCAGTGGGCCAATCTCATACCACTGTCTGTATTTGTAAGCAAAGTTTTATTAAAACCACAGTTAGGTTTATTTGTTTGCATATAGTAATCTATGGCTGCTTTTATCCTGCAGTGGCAAAGCTGAGTTGAAATAGAGACAGTATGGCCTGCAAAGCCTAAAAGATTGACTTTCTGGCCCTTTATAGAATACATTTGCTGACTCTTGGTCTGTGAGCTCTTTTATTACCTTTTTGCCGATTCCTACACCTATCAGGCCTATCATTGGTGCTGAAAACATTTTTTGTCAAATTACAAAGGAATATAGGTATGAAATACGGTAATGAAATACCCTATCTGTAAAATGAGGCATGCATGGTTTCTAAGATGTGTTCTGGTTATACAGGTAGACTGCATTAAAATAAGACTCAACTGAGTTTATTTTTCATCTTTTTGTACTTTTTCCTAACCCCTCCCCGGTTGAACTAATTGCCCTATTGTACATATCGCTGTTATAAAACGGGTGCATTTTATTATAGACATATTTATTTATAAATATATTTTAACCACCATGTGAACTCAAAGTCAGCAAACAGTGTTTCAAATTTCTGCTTATAGTGCCTGATGTAAATATGGAAAGGAACTTAAAAATTGTGTACCCCTCAGTAAATACGTTTTGCACTGGACTGAGAGGTTGGTTTGTTTTTAAAGATAATTAAAAGTTATTTTTTGTTTTTTATAATGTAATATTCTTTTTAAAAAATACTGCAAAGAGTAAAAAGTAGTTTGTTACTTTTCATTTTATCTAATGAAAATCCTCTTCTCTGAGGTATAAACACTTTTAACTGGTAGCTATCCTTCTGTGCTTCCTTTATTTCTTCTTTCGTTCCTACACACACCATACACTCATATACAATTATATAGAGCTTAGGTATGTAATATACACAAGCATTTTTAAAAAATGCTAGGAGTATGCTATACATACCATTCTATAACTTTATTTTTTTCACTTAACAGTATACATGGAAGTACTTAATTCTTTTCAGTAGCTGCATGGTATTTCTAGTACAGTGATGTCACAATATATTTAACTAGGCCTCTTGATGCGTTTATATTTTTTTGCTCTGATGAACATTGCTGGGATGAATATCCTTTACACATCCTTTTTTGTATTAGTAATTCATATCTGTAAGACAAATTTGAAATTTCAATTGCTCTTTCAAGTGTTATGTATATGATTTAAAATTTTCACATACTTTGCCAAATGACTGTAATTAACTTTCTCACAAACAAGGTATGCAAAGACTTATTTCCTCACATTTTGGCCGATCTTGTATATTATTTTATTTTTCTCAAGTTACAAATTATTGTTTTAGTTATTGTTTTATTTTCTTAAATAATTAATTACACTTGATTATATATTTTGCCATGCAAATGTTTTAAATTTTATATATTCAACATTGTCAGTCTTTTTTCTTGTGACTTAGGGGTTTTGTGTCATGTTTTGAAAGTCCTTCAGTCAAAGATTATAGGAAATTAACCTGTTTTCTTTGATCGTTTTATAGTCTCATTTTTTCCTGTTTCAAAATGCAGTTTAAAGGGGAAAAAAATACCATTTAATTGGAATTCTTTTGGTATTAGGAATGGGGTAGAAATGAAGTTCTTTTACTTTCAAGTAGCCAGTTTCAGAGAGTGTGTTGATATATGGTGAGTGTGGAAAGAGATGAAAGTCAGTGATGACTTCCAAATTTTGAGCTTGATTGTTTTCCTCTTGTTATTTTTATTTATGTAGAAAAAAGATGTATTTAAAAATAGTGACTCATCATCCCAGTATCATAAAATATAAAGTATTTCTATTTTTCACTCTTCTATAAATTTTTTATATTCTGATGTATAAGAGATGGAAATTTCTATATTCTGATTTTTAAGAGATGCTTCAGTAGCAATCTCTTACATTTTAAAGTTAGTGAATACCCTGCACATAATGTGTCAGTTGGCTTGATTATCTCCTTAATGTTAAAGGTATTAATTATAGTGAAATTTAAGGACTTAGTTCCCCTCATCCCCAAATATTCCTTGAATATTTGGAAAGACTACTGTGAAATGTAAATTTTAAAAGAAATGACAAATCTGATTTTCCCCCCTAGATTTTGGATTGGTTTGTACAAATATGTTTGGCCTTGAAACATGTACATGATCGAAAAATTCTTCATCGAGACATAAAGTCCCAGGTATGTTTATTCTGTCACTAATAACTTCTAAGGGATATGAACATTGAGCCACCATTGTTTGTGGCTAAAATATTTGAACCCAAACCAGTCTGCATCAGATTATCAGTTCTCTTTTCCCCCTTCATTATAATCCTAGAAATCCTCTTTATATGCATCATGTGTTAGAGCTCCTGCCTTTTTCCTATATCCTCCTCTTTCTGGGTTTACTCTCATAATGATGGGAAAAACCCAAAAAATAGATATGTGGAAAGTCTATTTTGGGGGGTATTGTATGTCTGAAGATGACCTTATTCCCCTAACTTCTAGGTTGGAAATTTGTTTTCTTACAGAATTTTGAAGATATCATTCATTTGTCTTTTGGCTTCTAGTGTTGCTATTTAGGAATTTAAAGCCAATGATTTCTTGATTTTTCTCTTTTTTTCTTTTTTCTTTCTTTCCTTTTCTTTCATTCATTCATTCATTCATTCATTCATTCATTTTATTTATTTGAGAGAGAGAGAGCAAGCAGGAGCGGGGGGAAGTGGCAGAGGGAGAGGGGAGCCTGGCTTGGGGCTTGATCCCAGGACCCTGAGATCATGACCTGAGCCAAAGGTAGGTGCTTAACTGACTGAGCCACCCAGGTGCCCCTGTTGGAGCTTCTTAATCTAACTCTTCCAAGTACCTTGTTTGTTCTTTCACATCTTTATCTTTGTCACTCAGTTGCATTCTAGGTGAATTTTTCAGCCTACTTTCCAGAACTAAATCCTTTTTTAATTTTGTGTAAACTGATGCTTATCTATTTACTTTTTTTTTTTTTTTTAAGATTTTACTTATTTTTTGACAGAGAGAGACACAGCAAGAGAGGGAACACAAGCAGGGGGAGTGGGAGAGGGAGAAGCAGGCTTCCCACGGAGCAGGGAGCCCAATGCACGGCTCGATCCCAGGACGCTGGGATCATGACCCGAGCTGAAGGCAGCCGCTTAACGACTGAGCCACCCAGGCGCCCCATATTTACTTTTTTTTTTTAATAATGACTTTTTTTTCTCTCCAAGATATTTTTAAATGGTTTTTTGTATACATCTGTTCTTACTCTTAAAATAAAGATTTTATTTATTTGAGAGAGAGAGTATGTGGGAGGGAGAGGGAGAGAGAATCTGAAGTGGACTCCACACTGAGTGCAGAGCCTGACTTGTGGGGTTCTATCTCATGGCTGAGAGATCATGACCTGAGCTAAAACCAAGAGTCAGACATTTAACCGACTGAGCCACCCTGGTGTACCACTCTGATTGGTTTTTGTTTCATAATGTCTTATTCTTTTTAAATGGACTTCCTTTATTTATCTCTTTGCAATTTTCTTTCTTTGTAATTTTTTTTAAGATTTTATTTTCAAGTAATCTTTACACCCAACGTGGGGCTCGTACTTACAACCCTGAGGACGAGAGTCACATTCTCTACTGACTGGGCTAGCCAGGTGCCTCTGTGCAATTTTCTAAACATATTTACTTTAAAGTTGTTGTTGGATTGTTTCATAAAATTAATTCTGTCTGGAGTGAATTCTTGTTCTGATTATTTTATTAGCTTTTTTTTTTTTGCATTGGGTTTCCTCATTTGTATTGGACTTCTTTTTTTTTTTTTTTGGCTGCTCTTTGTGAGAGATGTTTTGTCCCCACAGCTCACTCATCTTTGCATAGAGGTTTCTTTCATGGATGCCCCACTGGGGCTCCCTCATTCCTAGACTGGGTAGCACAGAGGGGATTTATTTCCTGGTGTCAAGGCTGTGTATCTTTCTTACCTTCCTACTCCTGCAGCTTTCTTGTATAGCCTGATAGCCTCAGGATGAGTAGTAAGAAGAGGAGAAACTGTGATGGGAACTTTATGCCCCATCCTACTGGTCCCCCAATCCTCTGCCACCTAATTCCATTTCACCCCGTTTTACTCCATCCCACTCATCCCCATTTTGTGTCATCTTTGGCTGTGAACATGTGTCTGATTCAAGTCTCCTGAATGATACAGAGTTTAATTCATGTTTCACAAATTCCTGCCTTTACTGTTGGATAGAGTAGTGGAGTTATGTATTTATGCATGCAAATTAACTGCCTAAATTATTGGAAAATTTTAAGGTTAATTTGTTACATTTAGGTTAATTAGAATTTTTAGGCAGGCTTTTTTTTTGTATTGGAGGGGAAGGTCTGAGTTTATTTTTTTAAAGCTATGTTGAGATATATTTCAAATACAGTAACGTTCACCCACTGAAAATGTACAGTTCGGTGATTTTTAGTATATTCACAGAGTTGTGAAGCATCACCACTCTCTAATTCTAGAACATTTTTTTTTTTATCATTCCAGAAAGAAACCCTGTACCATTAGCAATCACTCTCCATTACCTCTCTACCTAGACTCTAGAAACCACTAATCTAATTTCTTTCTCAATGGATTTGCCTGTTCTGGACAGTTTATATAAATGGAATCATATAATACATGCCTTTGTGTATTTTGAATGGGGTGTCTTGTTGCTAATGAATTGTAAGAGTTCTTTTTTCTGGATACAAATTCCTTGTCAGATACATAATTTGCAAGTATTTTCTCCAGTTCTCTGGGTTGTCTATTTACTTTAAAAAAAAAATTATTTATTCACTTTTTAATTTTTATTTTAATTCAATTAACATATAATGTGTTATTGGTTTCAGAGGTAGAGGTCAGTGATTCATCAGTCTTATATAATACCCAGTGCACATTACATCACATGCCCTCCTTAATGTCCATCACCCAGTTACCCCATGTCTGATCACTTTTGCTGGTCTTTGAACAAAAGTGTTTATTTTTGGTGAAGTCCACTTTATCTATATTTTCCTTTCTGGCTTGTGCTTTTGGTGTCACATTTAAGAAACCATTGCCCAGCCCAAAGACATGAAGATATATTCGTATATATTCCTCCAGGAGTTTTGTAGTTTTAGTTCTTATATTTAAGAATCCATTTTGAATTAATTATTGTGTATGGTATGAGATAGGGATCTATACTCACTCTTTTGTATGTGAATATCCAGTTATTCTAGCATTTTTTTATAACTAGATTCATCGTTATGAAGAGTTGTCAACTCAGACCTGGATGTAACAGTATTTCTGACTTTTTTTTACATCTCTTTCACAGAATATATTTTTAACCAAAGATGGGACAATACAACTTGGAGATTTTGGAATCGCTCGAGTACTTAATAGGTAACATCAGTTTTAAACTTTGTTTTGACATAATGTCCATGGTGATATATATGTGATAATTTTTAATATCCTTTAGTATCTTAAGCTTTTCTAATAATTCTCTTTTTGTTCTAGTACTGTGGAGCTGGCTCGAACTTGCATAGGGACCCCCTACTACTTGTCACCTGAAATCTGTGAAAACAAACCTTACAACAATAAAAGGTATATAAAATGATACTCATTTTAAATCTTTATTTCCTTTAAATCTTTGTTATTTTCTATTTACTAACCTTCAGAATATGATTCCAAAATCATTAATATACTTGTAAATATATACACACACACACACCTGTTTTTTTTTACTGTACAACGAGGGGGATTGCAAAGAAGCTGTTTCACTATCTCGTTAAAAGAAGTATAGAAAGTGTCACTTTATTTTTTATTTGTTTATTTATTTAAGTAATTTCTGTACCCCATGTGGGACTTGAACTCATGACTCCGAGATCAAGAGTTGCATGATCTTCTGACTGTGCCAGCATTCCGAAAGTGTCACTTTATTATAATTGGAAATAGAGTACTTTTTTGGTCTTTGTAATAGTCACTTTCTATTGCATGTAATAGTTAATAGTTACTGAACACTTACTAAATGCCAGGCACTATTTTGGATGCTTTCTATCTATTCACTCCTTTAATCTTCACAATAACCTTGTGAATTGTAGTCATTGAATTGTACTGTGGCTAATGGATTGTGTAATATATTCTGCCACTGAATTCCATTTACCCTTTATTTTCTCTCTTTCTAATTGAAGTATCCTAGCCAAGAAACATTGGTCTTAAATTTGAAAGCACACACAGAAGCTAAAAGGAAGAAAGTGATAGTTCCTTTATTTGAGAGTGGGAAGGAAACTATTTAAAACCTGAGCAGTTGAGGCAGAGAACATCATCCTAGCAATATATTTTTTTTTAAGATTTATCTGTTTATTTGAGAGAGAGAATGAGAGAGAGCATGAACAAGGGGAGAGGCAGAGGGAGATAGAGAGAATCCCAAGCAGACTCCCTGCCGAGCATAGAGTCCAACTCGGGACTCCATCCTAGGATGCAGAGATCATGACCTGAGCTGAAACCAAGAGTTGGATGCTCAACCTCCTGAGCCACCCAGGTGCTCCCCCCAGCAGTGTATTTTTTAAATGCTTTTAAATTATGATGATCAGTCCAGTTCATGGAATGTATTATTAGTGGATATTCTTAAGGATAGTAGCATTTTCTTTGAGCCAAAGTAATTTTCCATTTTAATGCTATTTCTGTGTCTTATGGATAAGTCAACTGTGAAAAAAATCAGTCTTTAAACTAGGAATGGATTTAATCATCCTTTGGAGAATTTTACATAAAATTAATTTTGTGGAGAAAATGGTTTAAAAATGTCATGGATGAGCATTGTCTATATACTTCAAAAATTTATATTTGTCTAAATATGTTTTAAAGTATTTTATTATAGAATCATTAGTTTAATGTTTTTTTTATACATGGGTCATGTACTAACATATACAAAAATAACTAATAAACTACTAAATCAATAATAAATTTAATTACATTTATTTTTTTTACAAGTTGAATCTTGAAATTGAGTAGATTTTGGGGGTTACAGTTTTATATTTGTGGCTTTTCATGAGTTTGGTTCAAGATAACCTCGGGATTTCAGTGTTAGATTTTATTCTTTTCTAATATGCTCAACTTTGAGGAGCAGTGGCTTTTGTTGACTACTAAGGACCACTGTAGCTCTGAACTATGAGTCTTTTACTTTTTCTTTTTAAAAATGTAAATAGTATTTTTTAATTATAAAAATATATTTAAGATAAAAGAAATGAAGAAACTGTAAAGAAGATAGTATGTCCTTAAAGTAAATCAAATAATTAATATATTTACCTTACATAATATTTTAGTAGACTGTTATAAGTTTATTTCAGATTTAATTTTAATAAATTAATATTTTCTTGTTCATCATTAAAACAGTATTTTGCTTTTAAAATACTTTTTAAAATCATGGTATTTTTGTTAGTGATTGAATAAAATAAGTAAATAGAATATTCATGGAATTTACTGGTTTTGTTCTTTTAAATATTACATTCCTTTAATAAAACTTTAAAAATTATTGCTTGGGCAATGTCCACAATAGCCAAACTATGGAAAGAGTCCAGATGTCCATCGACAGATGAATGGATAAAGAAAATGTGGTATATATACACGGTGGAATACTACTCAGCCATCAAAAAAAATGAAATCTTGCCATTTGCAATGATGTAGATGGAACTAGAGGGTACTATGCTAAGTGAAATAAGTCAATCAGAGAAAGTTATCATATGATCTCACTGATATGTGGAATTTAAGAAACAAAATAGAGGATCATAGGGGAAGAGAGGAAAAAATAAAAGATGAAACCAGAGAGGGAGACAAACCATAAGAGACTCTTAATTATAGGAAACAAACTGAGGGTTGCTGGAGGGGGGAAGGGTGGAGGGATGGGATAACTGGGTGATGGACATTAAGGAGGGCACATGGTGTAATGAGCACTGGGTGTTACAGACAACTGATGAATCCCTGAACTCTACCCCTCTGAAACCAATAATAGATTATATGTTAATTAATTGAATTTAAATTTAAAAACTGATTACAAAGTAAAGTGAGGGAATTAATACAAAAATAAAATAATTGCTTGGGCAACTGCTGTTTTTCTAATCTGGGATAGCTGCTTTTATCATTTGATTATGGCTGAAATTTTGAGTTTTAAAGGATAAGTTTTATGGAACACATATTTTTGGAAATAATTTTCATGGTGCTTTTGTTTCCTTTAAATGAAAAAAAATTTAAATTCTGATACTTAGAGATGATGTCTCATTTTTCCCTTTTCTAGTGACATTTGGGCTCTGGGGTGTGTCCTGTATGAGATGTGTACACTTAAACATGCAGTAAGTAGAAGTTTCTGAAATATTTAAAAAATTGTGTCCTAAAGTACCTGTAATATATATATTTTTAAATCATATGCCATCTTTCAGGTCACCCTCTTGCACTAGAAATTCTCTGTCAGTTTTTAAATTTCTCTTTTCTCAAGTATAAATTAAAATAGATTTTCCCTTAACATATATGTGTATATTACATATGTATGTTATATATTTGTTATTATAATGCATATGTCATACTTTTTTCCAGGAAATTCTTTTTTTTTTTAAGATTTATTTATTTATTTTGGAGAGGGAGAGAATCTCCAGCAGATTCCCCTGCTGATTGTGGTGCTGGATGGGGGTTCGATCCCACAACCCTGAGATCATGACCTGAGCTGAAATCAAGAATCGGATGCTTAACCAACTGAGCCACCCAGGCCCTCCCCCAAAGGAAATTATTTCTAACGACAAAAATAAACTTGCTATCTTTTTAATGTTACATTCGTATGTGACTGTGGTATTTTAGCTTAATGATTTTTGTTTCATCTTAGCAATTTCTCTCAAAACACCCAAAGTATTTAGAATTGAATTGTATTTGAGTTTGGAATTGAAATTAAAGAATATTTTCGACATAATCTTTAAGGGATTTTATCAATTCAAATGCTCTTTAATTAAAACTTATTTTGGGGGCACCTGGATGGCTTAGTTGGTTAAGCATCTAACTCTTGATTTCAGCTCAGGTCATGATCTCAGGGTGGTGATCAGGGTGAGATCAAGCTTGGCATTGGGCTCCGTGCTCAGCAGGGGGTCTGCTTCCCCTCTCCTTCTGCCCCTTCCCCTGCTTGTGCATACACACACTCTCTGTCTCTCTGTCTCTCTCAAATCTTTAAAAATATATTTTTTTAATTTTTGAGACTTTGTTGAGATGGCACCTAATACACCCCAAATGGGGAGTTTTTGTCTTAAATAGGTTGAATTTTAATCACTTTCCATTTCAAAATTTTGCTTTTTAAAAATGCTCCCCTGGAGGTGCTTGGGTGGCTCAGTCAATTAAGCATCCAACTCTTGATTTCAGCTCAGGTCATGATCTCAGGGTGCTGAGATAGAGCCCTGTGTTGGTCTCCTTGCTGGGTGTGGAGCCCGGTTGAGATTCTCTCTCTCCCTCTCCACCTCCCCCCTCTACCCCCTTCCCTGCTCATGCTGTGCAGGCATGCTCTCTCTCTCTCTTTCTAACAACAACAACAAAATGCTTCCCCCATTAAACAATAATGTATTTTCATTACAGAAAACTTAAGAGAATAGATAAAAATATAAAGAAGTGAATGAATATCAAAAACAATTCTTATAACTGGTAATGAGTACTTGTAATATTTTGTTTCCTTCTAGGCTTTCCTATAGATTAATTTATAAAATGAGGTTTTTTTCTTTCTACAGTTTATTTTGTCTAAGCAGTTTTATAGCCTGTTTTTATTGCTTGATATTATTTGGGGGATATTTTTTCATTGCTGTGTTTTTTCATGGTTGCATACTCTTTTAAGACTGTATTACCTTGGGGTGCCTGGGTGGCTCAGTCGTTAAGCAGCTGCCTTCGGCTCAGGTCATGATCCCAGAATCCTGGGATCAAGCCCCGCATCGGGCTACCTGCTCCACGGGGAAGCCTGCTTCTCCCTCTCCCACTCCCCCTGCTTGTGTTCCCTCTCTCGCTGTCTCTCTCTCTGTCAAATAAATAAAATCTTTAAAAAAAAAAAAAGTCTGTATTACCTTATGAAAGCATGGACTGTGAAAGTGGTGTGGAATGGTAGGTATCAGATCTGTATTTGAAGGAATTGGTCAGTTTTTCGACACACAGTCATTTTAGGTATAAATCAGTGTATTTTCTTTCATTTTTTCATCTATGTTCTGTCACCGTTGCTTATGTATTTTGGAATTATTTACTTTTAAGTAGACACATGAAATTAAGTAATTCATTAACCTTTATGAAAAGCTTGTCATTTGAGAGACAGTGAAAATTCATTGTAGTGAAGGAATAATCTATCATTATGCATTTAGAATTCCTTCTTAGGTACATAGATATTTTTAGACTACTGAATTATACTCAAATTTTAATATGCTGAATATCATTTTATTTTTTTAAGATTTTATTTATTTGACAGAGAGTGACACAGCGAGAGAGGGAACACAAGCAGGGGGAGTGGGAGAGGGAGAAGCAGGCCTCCCGCGGAGCAGGGAGCCCAATGTGGGGCCTGATCCCACGACCCTGGGATCATGACCTGAGCTGAAGGCAGATGCTTAACGACTGAGCCACCCAGGCGCCCCATGAATATCATATTTTAAATGTCTAGGAGAATTCAAGATTTAGCAGAACTTTTTTATACTTGATATAATCACCAATACCTAATTTATAGCATATTTTGTTTTGTTAATGTGTATGTTAAGAACACGTTAACAGTGTACAACTGTTTTATTTTAGCAGAGATGTCAAAAGCTTAATTTTATTTACTTTCAAAATGAAATCTTTAGATTTTAAACTGCCCCACCACTGTTGGTTTTTCTCTTTTTTAACTTCGGTTAGAGTTTATATTGTGTTTATTCCTTAAATGTATACTATTCCCATTGATATGGCTTATATTCCCCTTTGGAATACTTGCCACGTTGCTCACTACATGGCTTTTGGAAGCATCACACATTTAAAAATAATAATAAGCAGTGTTTAAAAGGAAAATAATTAGTATTTTCATTTATTTTTTCTTAAGATTTATTTATTTGAGAGAGAGAGGGCACATATGCATGAGTTGGGCAAGGGGCAGAGGGAAAGAATCTCAAGCAGACTCCTTGCTGAGTGCAGAGCCAGATGCAGAACTTGATCTCATGACACATGATGTGATGACCTGAGCCAAAATCAAGAGTCAGACCCTTAACTGACTGAGCTACTTAGGCATCCTAGTATTTTCATTTATTAGGTTTTTTTCCCAGATGCTTTTAGTTTTGTAGTTAATTTCTTGTTCCACTTACTGCAACAGGGCATAGGTAGGCAGGTCTTAAATGAAGACTACAAGGTTTGTTTTTGTCTTTTATTATTGTTTTTATAAAATCTTTAATATCTTTATCCCATCTTTTAGTGTTTTGAGTGAACAAAAATTAATATTACAGTAAGTTATAATGTTTTATGAGGACTGATAGTCTCTTAAATATGTTTATAAATAAGTGAACTTTCTTCTAAAGAACATATACTAAAAAAGAGAACATATGCTGATTAAAATATTTGTAAGAGAATTATATTTCTGTTCTATAGGAAGAGAACTATTTCTCATTGTTTTTTCCTATTTTCAATGTATGTATGTTTCATATATGTTAATTTGTTTTCTGGATTTTAGTTTGAAGCTGGCAATATGAAAAACCTGGTACTGAAGATAATATCTGGATCTTTTCCACCTGTATCTTTACATTATTCTTATGACCTCCGCAATTTACTCTCTCAGTTATTTAAAAGAAATCCTAGGGATAGACCGTCAGTCAACTCCATATTGGAGAAAGGTTTTATAGCCAAACGCATTGAAAAGTTTCTCTCACCTCAGGTATGTTTGTTGTTTTTTTTTTTTACTTGAAAATGATAAGGTTATGATGCTTAACTAGGACATGACCTATGTTTTGAGGAGAGCACATCACAGTTTTGGGAGAATGAAGTGCCTTTTTCAGATGACACTGGAGTCACCTTTCTTTCCATTCTCATGTTCTTCCTCTTTGGATTTGTTTTCTGGTTGTGAATCTGTATGAGGGAAAACATTCCCCCTGTGTTTCCTCTTAACACTTAATACTGAACTTCTCACCCTTCCAATCACCAAATGTGTGGTAGTTTTTCCTATGCCAAGCACTTCTGCAACACAGCTGGGTGTCCAATTTAGTTCACTTCTGGCACTGACTGGAGATATAGATCATCAGATCCCACAGCCAGATGAAGGGGTATGTAGGGCAAGGTCTGAAAGGGTCCTGAATGCAGGAGCTTCTGTTCCAGTGAAATTAGGATGTGTCACCCTGCTGGCATGTTTACCAACACAGAAGCTGTTCAAATCCTGTCCTTCAGTTTTTTGCAGAGGCTTTATTATGTAGACATGATAGATTAAATCATTGGCCATTAGTGTTTGATTAAGCCTCTAGTCCCTTTCCTCTCAGGGAGGGGAGTGAGACTGAAAGTTTCAACCCTTTAATCATGTGGTAGATTTCCCTGGCAATCAGCTTCCATCCTTAGGGGCTTTCCAGATGTCACGTCATTAACATAAATTCAGGTGTGGCTGAAAGTGGCTTGTTAGGAATAACAAAAAAAACACCTTTACTCTCTTAACCTTTTGGGTACTTTAAGGGTTTTAGGAGCTGTATGCCAGGAACTAGACACCAGATATGTATTTCTTAATATAAATTACAGTATCACAAAATCATTCTTTTGTTTTGGGTTTCTGTTTTGTTTTCCAATTGTTTTATTGTAAACTGTACACAATATAAAATGCATCCTCTTATCCATTTTTGAGTGTCCAGTTCAGTGGTATTAAATAGATTTTCAATGCTGTGCAGTTAATACCACCATTCATCTTCACAACTCTTCAACTTGTAAAACAAACTCAATCCCATTAACCAGTAACTCCCCATTCCCTCTGTCACAACTCCTGGCAGTCACCTCTCTACTTTCTGTCTTCTTAGGTTTCTAACTGTAAAATTATTATTTAAAAAAAATTTTAGGGCACCTGGGTGGCTCAGTCGTTAAGCGTCTGCCTTCGGCTCAGGTCATGATCCCAGGGTCCTGGGATTGAGACCCACGTCGGGCTCCCTCCTCGGAGGGAGGCTTGCTCTCCCTCTCCCACTCCCACTGCTTGTGTTCCTGCTCTCGCTGTCTCTGTCTCTGTCAAATAAATAAATCTTAAAAAAAATTTTTTTTAAATCCAGTATAGTTAACATAGGGTTATATTAGTTGCATGTGTACAGTATAGTGATTCAGTGATTCTGCACACTAGTGCTCATCAAGATAAGTGTACTCTTAATCCCTTTCACCTATTTCATCCATCCCCCTACCTACCTCCCCTCTGGTAATCATCTCTAATTGTAAAATTATTAAGCATTTCTGTGCCTCACTGACCTGTAAACAATGGGATTATAAATATATCTACATCATGAGGTGTTTTTTTTTAAAAAAAGTGATAATGTACATAAAGTGCCTAATGTCTAGCATGTAATAAGTGCTCAGTATATTCAATATAAATATTATCAATACGTCATTTTATTATACTAATATAAACATATTAGTATCTTAAGTTATATGATTATATTCTATTTGGATAATTACTGAAAACTGTTGTTTTGTGGGCATTTGTATGTATAACAGGTTGTTGGCTTATGATTTTTCCTCTTGTACTCACATGTAGATGCATAATAAATATTTTTTAAGTTGAACTGAATTTTACTTTGACAGGATTTATTAAAAATTTATATCAAATCAGTTTGTACAAGTTATTGATATAAATATGATCATCTGAAACTGGAATTATTTTATATTACATGTTCTTTGTGGCCTTTGTTAGTTTAAATAACTGTTAAATTCTTCTGTAAATCATGTATCTAGCAAAATCATAGTTTTATTACTTTTATATGCTCATGGGATAAGAGGGAAGTGTCATATATTCTCTGGGTTAATAGAACATCTGTGTGAGCAAGTAATTTTCAGAAAACAGAGGTGTGGATTTAACTATTACTACCGAGAGAACACATTAGTCAGCAAAAAGCCAATTAAAATGTGTAGATTGAAGGTTACTTGTATAGGATATAGCAAGAATCTCTGAAACTTAGGTATCTTATAAGACTCCTTTGTTATAAGTTAACAATTTCAGGGACAGGTTTATGATGCAATATGCTATTGTTTTTTGGCAACTACTGGCAAAGAAAGAGTAACTTCATTGAATCTTGGTGAGGTTCCCTCCTTCCAAAACCAGTGGTTAAGACATACAGTCTCAAGGCTGAAGCACTGGAATTCAACTAGCCAGCAGTGAAGGAAAATGTGCAAGCCTGATATATCAAAATTTATAATATGGAAAGAAAAAAGGACAGATTATTTATGATTACTAACAAGTGCAATGTTTGATAGTATGTGTTTAATATATTAATAGCTCCTTGTTGCTATTTAGACAACACTTAGATTTCATTTTTTTTGTGTGAAAATCTCTTCTTTGGTTCCTAAGTTTTATTTTCTGCTGTATATCCCTTATTCGGTATTCTAGTGAGAAAGTTTGCAATACATTTTTTAAGGCTTTAACTTTGAAACAATTTGTGAGCTTTACTATATAATATATGAACTACTATAGTATTCTGTAGGGTTTTTAAAAAATCTCTTCCTTTCTAAGTACTGTCACCCAAGGTTTAATAGGGCTTAATTCTCAATCTTGCACACACTGAAAGAAGCTTGACAAATCATGGAGAAGCTCTAATCCCTTGCAGTATAGGTGTTGTCCAATAGTACTTTCAATAGCGCATCAATAGTGATGAAGTGTTTTATATCCGCATTGTCCAACATTGTAGCCACTAGCCACATGTGGTTATTGAATACTTAAATTGTGCCTAGTGTGACCAAGGGGCTGAATTTAAAATTATATTTATTTAAAATTTTAATCCAAATAGCTACTTATGGCTGGCAACTATATTGAACAACATAGCATAGAGATTTCAGAATCTTCTTGGATTCTTCATGCTCCATCTCTTAGTTCATATTTGCATTCACACAAAAAAGAAGGACTCACCTTCAAGCAGTGAAAGAAACTATCCAGTTTGGGGCAAGTTGGAGTTCATAAAGCACTTATTTTCTTCCATGCAAAAGAAAGGGAAAAAATGCCAGTGTTCAGAAGAGAAAATACATTTACACAGTTGCTCTGAATTGCCTGTGAACCAGACCTTCACTTAATTTATCTTTTGGTGCAGTGGTTTTTAAGCTTTAGCATACTTTAAAAAATCCCTTGGAGAACATTGCTGGGTCCCATCACTACAATTCCTATTTTAGTGTTTCTGAGGTGGGAGCCTCAGAATTTCCACGTTTAATATGTCCCTGGTGATGCTGATTCTACCAGTATGAGATAACTTGAAAACTGCTATTGGGAGGATCCTTAATGGGACAGATGACCATCTCATTCATGGTTTTTTGCCTGTTGGAGCTTCTGTTCCACTGCTACTGAATATTCTCTTCAGCAGGCCTCATTTCTTTTGAAAAAAGAGAAAATTCACTTCTTTTCCCTTTCCCCACCCAATAAGAAAAAAAGCAGGCTTAAATTGAGTTAAATCTTTGTTGGTGACATAGTTTTGCACTTAAAGAGGGGAAAAAGAAAATTTAGTGAGTAGGGAGAAAAAATGACTTGCAGGAAATACTAATGATTTTTGGTTTTCAAAATATGTTCATGAATGCTAGAGAATTAAGTACAGGAGTATTTTAGTAATAGTAAAGAGATACTTGTTGAATTATCTAAGAATATCCAAATATTTATCCAGTAGTATGTTTATAATTACATATTGTTAAAAGTGAAAACTCACTGGAGATGCTGAGAAGATTCAGAGTAAAGTTGAAATAACTGAGAGGTTAATCTGAGAAAGCGGTAATTAAGTGATTATTAGTTTCGAGGGAAATGAGGGATTTTGCTGTATATAAAATATAGAGGCTATTCCAGATAGGAGGTAATTGTGTTAAATTGATGAGACATAGAACAGGAAAGCAGTTTATGGGGGCCTTTGTGGTTCATTAGGTTAATTTGAGAAGAAAGGTTGTCTGGAAAAGTCATAAAATAAATTTGTAAGAGTGGAAGGGAATTAGTATGCGAGGAATTTGGGATTACTTAGGTTGAATAAGTACAGTTTATCTGGTAGCATATATGTGACTGAAAAGAGAAAAATGTAATCTGAATAATGGGTAGGGCTTTTATTTTGGAAATTTCACATCTTTTCTAACTTTTTCTTGGTCCTCTTTCAATCTAAGCTTATTGCAGAAGAATTTTGTCTAAAAACATTTTCCAAGTTTGGAGCACAGCCTGTACCAGGTAAATGAAATTTAATGAGTCTTCACCTGTTTGCAATAATCAATATCTAGTACTAATTAGTAATATTTTCTAATTATACTAGAGATATATATAGATATAATAAGTTGGGGTAAATGTAGATAAAATTAATCCAGAGGAAATTCATCTTTAAATTATTTTTGATGTATGACAGTATACAACACTTTGTTATGAATTAATAACAAAATTTCCATTTCTTGTCTGCCTTATTTAAATGAATTCAATCTGTCTTGAAGTCTTCCATCTTTATCAGTTGCTTAGCTGATACTCTAAGCAGATTGTTGTAGAATGTTCTAAAATGTCTTAGTTAAGTATATATCTTTATATATTTTCTTTGACAAATACTTCATATTCTAAAATTTTTAAAAAGTGAATTAATATGACATCAGGTAACTTACCAAGGATAATTTTGTTTTAAGTGTGGCCAGCAGCAGTAGAATATTTGTAGGATTGTGGGTATGGTTATATACTATATGTATATACATATATTTGTGTGAGAAGGTAATTGTATTTTTTCTTCATAAATGATTTCAGAATGGATTTCTAAAATCAGTGGAAGTTATATAAGATTTGAAGAGTATATTGTTTTTCAAACAGTGCGTTCCATGTTCTCCATTTTGAATTTGAGTAAATTAATAAAAAGAAATAGCATATTATAACAGTGAGTCCACGTAAGCTGGAAGTGGTACAGCAGTGTGTTCTTAGGAAGGCCAGCTATATTTAGCTCTTCCTGAAGTTCCTTAGACTCATTGTCTCAGTGTTCAGAGACTGTCATTCCCTGGGAAATCAATTCACTCTAAACGAAATTCACAAGAGACTGACACACAGCAGAATCAGCATGTCTCTCCTGGTGGTCAAGCCTCATGAGAAGTCAAATCTTAATCAAAAGCCTCATTGTCACAAAGACCAGAAATACTCCATCTCAGCACATTTTTTCCATGTAGATAAGCCTACATAGGAATTAGAAAGTTATTTTGTTGTAACAGGAGTTGGATGAATGAAATGTTTAATAGAATGAGGCTAAAATAGGAATTGTATTGCTCATGGGCCTATAGGTACTTTGTGGGCTCCAACTCCCCCATATTAATTAAGCTTTATACCATTGGCAGCCTTGTTACAGAGCCTGAGAAATACGCCCAAATCAGATAAGTAATACTCCCTCTTTTCTGGAAGCGAATGGGAACTATTCAGTATTTTTCTCTTGGGAATCTTCATTTTTATACTTCCGTGACTTTAGCTCCTTCTTCAGTATGTGTGCCAGTATGTGTACTGGTATACACAATATTTCTTTGGTTGTTTTAATACATTTAGCCAAGTTACAATGTTGTGATGTTATATATATGTGTTCTGATTTGATCTTACAGTTGAACTCTCAAAGGGAAATGTTTTTTCTTCCACTTTTCCTAGTTCTTAGTTAATATCTTTGAGAGATATAAATAGTAGACTTTCCTTTAAATTTTCTTAATTTAACTGTTTTTCTTGAATTCGTCATTGTTCTAAGACAGAACCTTCAGTCTTAGAACTCTAGGCTTCAATAAGAATTGGATACATAATTGCTGTAGGGCTTATAGTTGTATATAAATTTTTATGTATCTCTGATTATTTCTTTAAAAGCAATCCATAAACATTGTTCTTGATACAGATTGCCTTCTAGAAAGTTTGACCATTTTATATTCCCGCCATGTAAAGGTACCCATTTCATGGGACTCTGAGCTGTAATAATTGTTTTAAAGTGTTTGTTCTTCTGTAGGTCTGTAGATATAAACATCTTTCAGACTATAGATGAAGAAAGTAATAAAGTTGCTCACAATGATGGCATTAGTGTTTAACACTTGCTCTTGAGGTTTTTGTGCTAATTTTGAAAGTAATTTCTAAAACAGTGCTCTTTTTTTAACAGCTTTATTGAGTTACAGTTCTATACCATTTAAAGTCTGCTTTTAAATCTCTTAAATTCAGTGATTTTTAGTATATTCACAGATAAATACAGTCATCACCCATAGTCAATTTTAGGGATGTGCTTTTTTTTAATATGAGAAATTTCAACATCTTAAAGATGTGTGGCTTTTTACTTTTTTTCTTCCAAAAAATGGCTTTAGTATCAAATAGTTTATAACGAAGGCATTGACATGTGCTAAGGATTGAACAGGATTTTTAATGAAAAGTCTTAAATGCTGTCAATGATTGTGAAAATGAAAAAGTACTATCTTGAAGAATTTTGAAATTAAAGATTTAATATAAACTCTCAGAAAAAACTCTTTGTATCTTTTCATGTAGCTAAAAGACCAGCTTCAGGACAAAGCTTGGCTTCTCTTGTGTCTGCTCAGAAAATTACAAAGCCTGCCGCTAAATATGGAGTACCTTTAACATATAAGAAATTTGGAGATAAAAAATTACATGAAAAGAAACCACTCCAAAAACATAAACAGGTATGATCATATTACAGACTGTGTATTAGTAACAAATTCAATTTGATCTTTTTTTATTGCAGCTCAATTCCATTATCTTGATACTCATAGGATTGTTTTTATTAAGTTGCTAAAGAACATTGCTATTCTCTGCTTCACCAGTCTTCTAAAACTAAGAAGACTTACAGAAATCACAGAGAAACATTAAGTAGATATATTAAGTAGATGGTACAATAAAAAGAAAGTGACATCATCAGTGAAATCACTTTTGGACAACCTAAGCAGAGCCATTTGTTTTTGTGCATAAAACAAGTAAATGTGATATACATGATAAAAATGTGGGAAAATTTTGTATTTGAGAATTCACAGATAAATAAATCAAAATCATAGAGCTGGAAGGAATGTTATTGTACAGTCTATAGTATTTCAGATGAAAAACTTAACACTTATAGCATCTAGGTGAAATGCTCGAGAACACAGTGTTAGTTGCAGGAATTTGACATTTTTCTTCATGTCAGTAGCTGCCTGCTTTAGCATATGAAACCTGTTTTGTTCTGGACTACATATGTACATGCATACATATGTGCATACACATGTGTTTACATATGAACATTGAACACACTACTGTAAGAGAAATCTAAGTTAAAATCTGTCATAAAGTATTTCAAATGATTACTGTAAATTAGTCTTCAAATAAGTTGTATAAGTCAGCCTCCAGTCAGGAGAAAAAAGCGCATAATAATTTGATCAAGGAAAGTTTAAATAATTAGTAACTATGTTTAGGGAATTAACTTCAAGGGATAAAGAACTCTAGAGAATATAGGAACAGCAGATAAAGGAAGCAGCCACTACTCCTAGTGCTGATACATAGTACCCAAAGAAGGAATAGATTTTGGAAAATCTCCACAACACCACCCTTAAGGCTGAGATTCAAACCTTATTGGGTGTGGTATGGCTATAATTCAATGGCTGGTGAGTTCACTGAGCTGCCATAGGCTGAGGCTGGCAAACATAAAACTGTCCACTGTAGAGCTGATGAAGCTCCTGAGAACCTGCTTAGAGTGCCTGTGAAATGTACTGGGAAGCTGCTTGGGGAATCGTTGAATCTACTGGGAAGCCTACTGGAGTGCTGGTGGAAGTTGCCAGGTGTTGCTGAACTCTTTGGGTAGTAGGCTGGGATGCCAGTTGGGTCACCAGTGGAATGTGGTGGGAAACTGGCCTTGGGGTTGCTGTCAAAGGTCACAGAGAAGCCGGCAGGGGCACCAGCAGAACTCTCCTGGAAGCTGCCCACAGGGGTGAATGTTACTATGTGTCCCACATGCAGCAGGAACAAGAAGAAAGAAAACTTGCTAATCAGGAACAGAAGCCATTTCCTTCTGCACTGTCCCTCCAACATCATCTGCTAACAAAGCTTAACATCATACTAGCAAACAAAGAAGTGTTTATATTGTCTGGCTTCTCACAAGGAGGACAATAAAGGGTGAATTTGCAGCTGAGAGGCAATATGATAACTGGCACACAAGTTTTCCCTCCCTGCCTCCCTCCCTTCCTTCGGTCCTTGCATATAACACTAAATTAGGCCTAATGGACCAATTCCATCTTATCTTTTATCCCTCTTCTTTAATCACCAGAAGCGCTGGACCTCCAGACCTTTCCTTCATTAGCTAGTCTCTCAATTCCATATGATTCTGGTCAGACGCCAATCTGACCCTCACCCTCTGCAGACCTCCCTAAACTCTTCCAGAAAGCCCTCTTATAGCACATTATCACCAAAATCCCCTGTATTTTAAACCTGTAGAGTTTTTCAAACTTTTTTGCTCTGAAACCTGGCTTGTCCCTGAACACACTGTTGTGCAACTGTTTTTCATGATGTCTCTAATCTCTTAATACCACTGCATCTAGAAGTAAGATGAGGGAGGTGTTTTCCTTGCTTCTCACTGCAAGACTCCCCTGCTCCCTAACCACAACCACCCCCCAAAATTTTGAGGCTTTTGCTACCAGATTGTATCATCTGTTAACCCTCTGTGGATCATCTGCAAACTCATTTTTTAGAAACTTTAACACTTGACTCCCGGACACTTTTCCCAATACTGTCCTAATTCTTGTCATGCCATCAAATTTGTCATTATTATAGCAACTCTTCCATAGTCTCAATTATAAGCATCCCATGACTTACCATTATTTCCTGTGTTTCTACCTTATTCCTGGAGGACTCTGCCTCCACAACGTCTTTGTCCTATTTGGATCCATGGATTTTTCTAGTTTTTTTTCAATGTCCCTCTCCTCATTTTTTATTTACCTTTTTTGGCTTAAATTCCATGTTCTCTCATTATAATAATTTCCAAAGCCTCACCTGTCTTTCATTATTACAAATCACCTGGCAAAAACTAACTTGGTGAAATCCAATTCTCTATCTCTTTTGAGCCTGAACTTGGGTAGTGGAATGTGATTGGAGAAAGCATACAACTATTCTAACTGGTCTCGCTTTAAATTTATAACTAATAGTATCAAGTGAGCACCTTCTGGCCACCCTATTATATTTGCTCAGTCCACTTACTTGCCTACTATATTTTATTTTATTTTATTTTTTTAATTTAAATTCAATTAACATGTAATGTATTACTGGTTTCAGAGGGAGAGGTCAGTGATTCATCAGTCTTACATAATACCCAGTGCTCATTACATCATGTGCCCTCCTTAATGTCCATCACGCAGTTACCCCATCCCCTCATCCTGCTTCCCTCCAGGAACCCTCAGTTTGTTTCCTATGCTTAAGAGTCTCTTAGAATTTGTCTCCCTCTCTGATGTTGTCTTGTTTTATTTTTTTTCCTCTCTTCCCCTATGATCCTCTGTTTTGTTTCTTAAATTCCACATATCAGCGAGATCATATGATGATTGTCTTTTTCTGATTGGCTTATTTCACTTAACACCCTCTAGTTCCATCCATGTCATTGTAAATGCCAAGATTTCATTTTTTTTGATGGCTGAGGAGTATTCCATTGTATGTATATATATATATATGCCACATCTTTTTTATCCATTCGTCTGTTGATGGACATCTGGGCTCTTTCCATAGTTTGGCTTTTGTGGATATTACTGCTATAAACCTTGGGGTGTAGGTACCCCTTTGGATCACTACATTTGTATCTTTGGGGTAATACACAGTAGTGCAATTGCCAGGGCAGAGGTTGCTCTATATTCAACTTTTTGAGGAACCTCCATACTGTTTTCCAGAGTGGCTGCACCAGCTTGCATTCCCACCAACAGTGTAGGAGGGTTCCCCTTTCCCTGCATCCCCGCCAACATCTGTTGTTTCCTGACTTGTTAATTTTAGCCATTCTGACTGGTGTGAGGTGGTATCTCATTGTGGTTTTGATTTGTATTTCCCTGATGCTGAGTGATGTTGAGCATTTTTTCATGTGTCGGCCATTTATATGTCATCTTTGGAGAAATGTCTGTTCCTCTCTTCTGCCCGTTTTTTGATTGGTTTATTTGTTCTTTAAGTGTTGAGTTTGGTAAGTTCTTTATAGATTTTGGATACTAGCCCTTTATCTGATATGTCATTTGCAAATATCTTCTCCCATTCTGTCGGTTGTCTTTTGGTTTTGTTGATTGTTTCCTTTGCTGTGCAGAAGCTTTTTATCTTGATGAAGACCCAATGGTTCATGAAGACAGTATGGTACTGGCACAAAAACAGACACATAGATCAATGGCATAGGATAGAGAATCCAGAAATGGACCCTCATCTCTATGATCAACTAATCTTTGACAAAGCAGTGCAGCCGCACCAGGGTGTTTCACCTTAATGGTTAAATTTATTCCTAAATAATTTATCGTTTTGAATCAATGGAATGGTTTTCTTGATTTCTCCTTCTGAGAATTTGTTATTAGTGTATAGAAACACAACAGATTTTTGTACGTTAATGATGTATCCTGCAACTTCACTAAATTCATTTATTACTTTATACTAGTTTTTTGGTGTAATCTTTAGGGTTTTTTATATATAGTATTATGATACCTGTAAATAGTGACAGTTTTACTTTTCCTTTCTAATTTAGATGCCTTTTATTTCTTTTACTTGCCTGGGACTTCCAGTATTATGTTGGATAAAAATAATGAGCATCCTTGTTTTGTTTCTGATCATAGAGGAAAAATTTTTGTCTTTTTACCATTGAGTATGATGTTAGCTGTGGGTCTGTCATAGATGGCTTTATTATGTTGAGGTACATTCCCTCTATATCTACTTTGTTGAGAGTTTTTATTATAAATGATGTTAAATTTTGTCAAATTATTTTTTTGCATCTATTGAGATGATCATGTGAGATTTTTATCATTTATTTTGTTAATGTGGTTTATTATGTTGATAGATTTGTGGATGTTGAACCATCTTTGCATCCCTGGAATAAGTACTTCTTGATCATGATGTATGGTCCTTTTAATGTATTGTTTATTTCGGTTTGCTAATATTTTGTTGAGGATATTTGCATCTGTGTTCTTCAGGGATACTGGCCTGTAATATTCTTTTTTGTGGTGTCCTTGTCTAGTTTTGGTATCAGGGTAATGCTGGCCTGGTAAAATATGTTTGGAAGTTTTCCTTCTATAATTTTTTGTAAGAGTTTGAGACAGCTAGGTGTGAAATCTTTGAATGCTTAGTAGAATTCACCAGTGAAGTCATTTGGTCCTGAACTTTCATTTATTGGGAGATTTTTGAATATTGATTCAACCCCTTTACTAGTAATCAGTCTATTCAGATTTCTGTTTCTTTATGATTCTGTCTTGGAAGATTGTAAAGTCTAGGAATTTATCTACTTCTTATATCTGGCATATAATTCTTTACCTAGTCTCAGGATATTTTATCAATTGTAAGTTTTTCTCTTTTATTTCTGATTTGATTTATTTGAGCCCTCTCTCCTTTTTTCTTAGTGAATCTACCTAAAGGTTTCTTTCATTTCTGATCTTTATTATCTCCTTCCTTCTACTACCTTTGGGCTTCCTTTATTCTTCTTTGTCTAGTTCCTTTA